GGAAGGAAGGAAGGAAGGAAGGAAGGAAGGAAGGAAGGAAGGAAGGAAGGAAGGAAGGAGGGAAGGAGGGAAGGAGGGAAGGAGGGAAGGAGGGAAGGAGGGAAGGAGGGAAGGAGGGAAGGAAGGAAGGAGGGAGGGAAGGAGGGAAGGAAGGAAGGAGAGAAGGAGGGAAGGAGGGAGGGAGGGAGGAAGGGAGGGAGGGAAGGAGGGAGGGAGGGTATAGGCCAGAGGTGGTGGCTCACACCTGTAATCCAGCACTTTGGGGGCCACAGCAGGAGAATTGCTTGAGGCCAGGAATTCAAGACCAGTCAGGAAAACATTGCGAGAACTTGTCTCTACCAAAAATTTTAAAAATTTAAATAAATAAAAAAGTGTATTAGCTTTTTTAGAATTTGTTTAATCATTGCTCTAATGATAAATTCTGATTAGCAACTAGGTAAAATACAACACAGAGGTAACTGATACAGACCTCTAGTTTCAGAGAGGCTATTAAACTAAACCATTTGACATGGATTATTCTGAACAGTGCAAAACCATTCCAAGCATTTGAAAGCCAAACATAAGGAACTCTGGAAAAGCCCATTTTATAACTGTTGAAGCATGAGTATAATTTAAAATGTATCCCTTTCTCAAAATTTATAATAGACATTGACAATCTTTGAGAAAAAATTCATTTGAATTAGAAACACTTTTAGCAACTGTCTGTACTTCTTACTATAAATATACCTGGATTCCACAGGCATATCAAGAAACTGTATTAACTATTTCTATCCAGCTACCTAGAGAACAAGAAGTGTTTTGGCTTGGGAAAGTAACTAAGACATGGAAATTTATTTTACCATTTTGATATCCTTTTTGGCCCTGTGAGAATCAGCCTTGGCCTGGTCATAGGTTAGTGCTTTACTTCGTGCACACCACATACTCAGATTATGTAAAACCTAGAAGAATCACAAGTAAGATAATGTCAAGATAGGAAAATCCCATTGTTCCCCATCCCTACAACGTTGAAAGCATTAATTAAAAATAATCAGCAACTGTTACATGATATATATTTAATTTACCTGTCTGATATCTTGATTGGCTCCCAAAATTATTTCATTCATAGCTGGAGGGGGAATCTTTAAACCTTCTTTAAATGCAATAGACATCATAGCACCCTGAGATCGACAAGGGAAGAAGCTTCAGTGATTTTTTTTAACTCATATAATCAGATATTAAAATATTTATCAAGGTACTTTTAAAAATTGACCCTTAAATAAATAGACTAATGTGATGGAAAAAAATTTCAATCATCATACCTTAATCTGTTCAACCCGAGGTCTTTGAAAACGAAGATCAAAACAATAATGAACCAGAGAACGAATCTTGGGATGATTTCTATCATTGCACATACAAATAATGGGAATTTTAGTATGTTTTATCAGGCCAATTAATTCCTGAAAGGCAAGTTTGCAACACAAAAATAATTATTTAAAAAATGACAAATACCACACAAGGTATTTTAGGTTCTAAAAATCTCCTCAGCAACATGCCTTAACTGCTATAAATAGGAGAATGACAATGTTTTAAGAATCTAAATATCAATAATGAAACTGCAAAAATACACCACTAGGATTACCTGAATTCCTCCCCTATCCTCATTGCCTGCCATGCCATCTACTTCGTCCATGATGAGAGCATGTTTCGTGCTTACTGAAGAGGCTGCTCCATCTGACCCAGGTTGAGGAGCAACCGGATGAGACAAAAACAAAATAACAATTGTTCAAAAACTGCTTCTCTGTAGAAAGTTAGATAAAACATATTAAACTTCAAACACTACAAGAATATGCAGCATTAGACTAGAGTGTTGTTAAAGAAAAAAAAAAAAAAAGAATACACAGTGAAGAGAAACTCTCCCTGCCACCCCTTCCACTGCAGACCCCAATTCCCTTCCCAGAGGCAAACAATAGTCTCTTATATGTCCCTAAACAGATATTCTACACATAAGTGAATAAAAATATACAACTGAGTTTTGTCTTTTTTTTTTTTTTTTTTTTTTTTTTTTTAGAGGGGTTTTTTTTTTT